ATATACTTTCATGGTTAGGGATCAATACTGTGGCAGCAGCAGTGCACAATAAGGCTGTGTACATAAATGCTATTTTTGTACTACAGGTCTAAAGCTGGCTGTCAGCCTGGCTTCGAGGATATCTGTGCTTCGCTGGCTTTTGATTATGCAAATACTATGCACTATAAATAAATTAGTATAATTGCATCTGAAATATGCTTTGAATCTTCCTCGAAGATGAAAGGATGTAAATAATATATTTCGTGTCACTGCATTATTCATTCCCTATTAATTACAAACATTGTGGCACTAGCGTTTTATATGCTATACTCTACATTTAGGTGGTGTGGATGTTATATTTTCTATATACATATATACACTGTACATCCACAATCTGTCAATATCAAGGTACTTGCTACTAAATTATAATGCTGAATTGTCTCTCACTGTATTGACTCTCAATTTTCCATTAGGAAACTCCTAATACTATCAGCATAATTCAGTTTCCAAACCTTAATTGGCTCTTATTGTTGAAATGGTAATTAATGTTTGAACAAGCTCTGACTCTATAAAACGCGACGTCCTCATGTTCACTGTCCGAACACCCAGATGTTCTCATTTTTTCATATTATGCATAAGCACATCTGTATTATGTACGGCTTCGTAAAGGGGGAAGGTCTTCAGAAAACATTAAACAAGCATAAATACTGTAGACGTGCCGCCACTACAATTAAAATATGCCCATCTTTCGGCTCTTTGTAAAGCATGGTATTGAGGCCTAGATGCAATTTGAATAAGGCGAACCGTTTGAAAAATATATGCTGTTCGGCAATTAAATTATATGGGCTCTCGGACTAGGGAGCTAGTACCAGCGCATATAGAATAGCGAGCAGTAGTTGCTACGCTCGCATTAGCATCTGGCCCTTTTATGTAAATTTGATGAGAAAGGACTCATGCATATATGCCAGAGCTGGGGTGTACTCGCCTAATATCCTTATTAGAGAGGGGCGAATTAAATATTTATTAGGGGGGCTAAGGGTTAGGAAGGGGGGCCTGTCCTGTGTTGTCGTGAGGACCCGAGGTGGAAGAAGGGGGAAAGGGAGGAGGAGGTTGGCTTTCTCTATGAGTGTCTCTCTCTGCCTCAAGGTGCCACCATCTTAAGGCGTTTGGCAGTAGTGAGAGTGTGAGGAGGGTAGACTTAAAATGTCCGCTGGCATAGACACGCACATGCATACACATTAATGCATACAAATTTCTATGCGGTTTGTGGCCAAGAACACAGAGCTCGGAAAGTCAATTATTCAGTTACTGTCAACAGCAGCTATGCATGCTGAGCATTTCATTTGCATGTATTAATTCGCTCGATTACTGTCACCTTCAAGATCAGCCTGCATTTAGCTTTCTATTGCAAGCCGTTTATTGGGTAGTTGCGCTAAAACTAGCACCATGCTCATTAGAACTAAACTGGTATTGGCTAATGTTTAAATGATTTCAATATAACACCTCCATGTATTTTCAGCCCAAGAAACCACATGTGCATTGGCTTTTACTGAGTTCGGTTTTAGAAAACACCAGACACACAGCATTTCTATCCAAGTGTATTTGAAGTAACATGCATTTATGTGTTTATTTACAGTGTTAAACAGTTAATTAAATCATATGACTGCCCTCGTTTTTTAACTAGAGCTCGCCACTTTAAAGTTCCAGATGTCACTGAAATAAAAGTCAGCATATTATATGTCACAAATATGTCAGTGTACATTCCCTGAAACTTAAGAATAAAGGTGCAGAATAGTACCCTCTGTGAAAAGTTACTGATAAAAGTATAAATGGTACATTTTCTAAAACTGTTACATCAAAAATGACAATACAAATGCTATAGAGCAAAGAAAGGAAGTCGATGGCAATTTCGCCAGTGTATGTAAATCAGCACTGTTGTCCCTATCTTTTCCTGTCTCCTCTCTTACTCACTCTCACCGTCACACACACATACTGTGGCTGACCTCTCCTATCTGTTAATTATCATAAATGTGCTTAGTGAGGCGACACACACACACACACACACACACACACACACACACACACACACACACCCTTACCCTCGCACACACTCACGTACAGTGCACAAACACACATTGTTCAGCGAGATACAGACACAGCATTAGCATTCCCTTTCATCCTGAAGTGCTCCTGAGGCATAGCATGAAGAAGAATGCGCAGGAAATTATTCAAGATGAATTATACCATACATCATCCTCATTTTTTGTGCATCGACACAAGCACACGCACAAATATGCGGTTCACCAGTTTAGTTAAGTATGTTATCTGAGGTATTTGACTATTGTCACAATTAGAGTTTTGGCTTTAACTGGTTGTTAGTGTGTAAATTTGTCTCTGAAGATACATGTACATTGCCGTGTACGTATTCATCTGGAAGCCAACGTGTTTATATACTAGAAGTGTGTGAATGGGTACGTGGAAATTATGTCTGCCTGAGCCTTGTCTCCTTGCATAGTCAGCCTGTTGTCCCTTTTTACATGCATAAAGAATGTATACAATATCAGCTGTTCTCCTTCCCTACCTCCCTGTTTCCTCTGATGAGTGGTACGCCCCGGCGTGCTGCCAAAGAAGTGAGAATAATTAAACGACGGCGTGTCTGAGCCTGGCGTTGGCTAATGGATTGTTACCGGTAGGAAATGAGACAGGCAGCATGGGGGAGCTGGGTGGCAAAGCAGACCTCGACTTTGGATAATGAAACACTGTAAGCCACCGGGGTGGAGAGTAGGCACACCTCTCGTAAAGGAAATGCTTTTGTTCTATGACTACTTCTTTTTGTCGTATAGGTAGGTGCAGTTGGTGAGGAGTCGCACAATGTTAGAAAGGCACAGTCAGTACAGCATCCCTTAAGTCAAGATAAATGTTGTTTTTTCTACTTTTAATCTTCTTATACTGTGTTTCAAATCAGTGCAGCTCACTTAAATAAAATTTCTATTTTTAAACTCTATAATAATAATCCTTGTAGGTCTTGTATATGTTCCTCTTTATGTTATCTTATATTGCACATGTGTGTGATTGTGTGCGATATGTATACACATGCAATTTGCATAAGATTTAGCATCGTCCGCATCACCACACTGCTGCTTTAGAGAATCCAGGGGGTTGATTCTTGGCACTGTCGTCGCCGGTGTAGCCCACCACCCCCACCCACCCTACACACACACACACACACACACACACACACACACACACACACACATACACACACGTAGGCAGAGAAGCAGAGTAGTGGTGGGGGGGATAGCGGGGCGGGGGGGGGGTGGGGGAGGATGGGGGGGGGCAGAGCGGAGGAGGAAGATAGAGGAGCAGGAGGGAGATGGGATGAGACAAGCCACACAAGCCGCAAAGGGAACGAGGTGAAGGTGGAGGGGGGAGTGCGGTATAGTTACCCTAAACCCTGCCGTAGGGCTAGAGACACACACATGCATGCACATACACACACACACACACACACATTGGTTTGTCACACAACCGCAAGACACACTCACAAGAGTCTCGAACATTGCAATGGGGAGTATGACAATTATGCCCTGTATAACAATATCCTAATTGTTTTTATTGGTTCTGCTTATGTTTCCTGATGTGTTAATTGAATATATAGGTGATGGCTGTCTGACATTCATGTTTGTTTGTTTTTTACAGGATTCTTGACTTTGATGCATTTTTGCAGTTTGTATTTGATGAAATAAAAACATAAATAAAATTGAGAGTGAAATCACAAGAATCTTGTGTGGTTGTATTATTGATTATTGCCATGCAGCATCCTGACAGTGCAAAAGCAAGTGTGTGGTTATGTGTGTGTGTGTGTGTGTGCTTTGATACGAAGCACTGATAAAATGTGGCATCTGTCAGTTTGATACTGCTGTGCCAGAAGAGCCTCACAATCACTTGGGAACACAGCAGGAAAGAAATCCAGAAGAAAGAAACAACATACAGTATGAGCAATATATGTCCTCCAAATGAGTCAGAACCATCCACATGAAAATACAAAATAAGTTTTTGGATTTAAACCAAAGCATTGTTTGTTGTCATTCATGTTCAATGCCTGTATTTTTCACCTGATCAGTTTTTAACTTGGTTTTCTTGAACCTGTCTGACCATGTCAGCAGTCACGTCTTTTTACAAGGTTAAAGAATCAAAATGAAAAAAAAAAAAAAAAGTTTAAGGGTACATTCAAGTTCATTGTCGCTGTGTGAGGTCAACAATTAGGTTTCAAACTAACCATAAACTGCTACAATTTATAATGGTTACCTTTGACCTCAAATGGACTTGTCATTTAGCCTTGACATTTGACATCTGACCTGCTCACCCACCAGTGAGAGGAGGAGTGAGAGGTCAGGGGTGACTGGGTTCAACAACATGGCTGCTGAAACAGTGTTAGTACACAGCAGAATTACTCTGACTTAACTACTTAAATTTATCTCAGTTTTAATATGAGATATTTAAGTATCTATACCTCAATAATTCAATTTTAGACTCCTAGGTTAACATTTAAACAAAGTTTCTTATTAATATTTTCCAGTATGAAAAGAACACACCTCCCGTGACCTTCAAATGATGTATAAACCAGCTGCTCATGTGCCATAAAGGTCCCAAGTTTGACTTGCTATTTGTGGCAAAGTGTAAAGGTTGAGACGACATTTGCACAAAGTTATTGCCAATTTGAATTCCTGCAAGTAAACTTAGCTATGGGAAATGATACCTCTGTTTCCTTCTGCTACCGCTATAACTGTGCATTTGCTTTGCTTCCTTTCGTTTTAGTGGGAACATGTTAATTGTGATTTGCTCAAGAAGAGTTATTCAACATGTAAAGGTTACCTCTTGGTAAATATAGTCACTCACTGCCTGTGTGTGTGTGTGTGTGTGTGTGTGTGTGTGTGTGTGTGTGTGTGTGTGTGTTGTGCGTGTGTGCGTGTGTGTGTGTGTGTGTGTGTGTGTGTGTGATGTGTCTTCTAATACTTCAGTGATGGAGAAAGGGAGCTGTGGAGGACTGCAGGCAGCAAGAAGTAGAGGTCAACATGAGATCTCTGAGATTTTGCTCTCCACTGGACCCACATGAGGTGAGCTTGGGTTAATAAACCAGAATGTGTGTGTGTGTCTGTCTGTCTGTGTATGTAGCATTAGCCTATATGAGCTACATGTGTAGGCATCCCTACATATGCCTGCTGCCCATTTTTGTATCTGGCAGAAAGAACCTAAATTTAGTCCACTCACTCCTAAACTGCATTTTCCTCTATTTATGGATTTTCTGAGACCTCTGTTAATTTAACACATTTCAGTGGTACTCACTCTACAAAGAATTGATTTTCATTTGTTTTTTAAATTCACAACCCACAATTATTTTTGCTCTGAATTATTTACTGAGCACTGCAAATGTTATCTTCTAAAGCTTTTGATATTTATCTGTAAAATTCCAATACTCTATATTGAAAATGTTATACAAAGTGTTGAAAATTTTGTCAAAAATAGCTAAATGTCTTTGTTGGTAGGGGTTTTTGACTGAGTGTTTTTTACCCTCTGTGCCCATCTCTGCTGATGTGTGTGTCTGTTTGCCTGCAGCAAAGTTAGCCCATGTGTGTGTTGGAAAAAGGCATAGATGTTAGTAGTGGTCCAGAGGACACAGTAAACAGAATAACAGTGGTTTGAAGGCAGCTCAGGCGATGTGATCGTGGGCAATATCAAATCCCATGACCCATTCTTTGCCCTGTGGTCCATACCAAAGACAAGAAGCACGGGGGAAACAGAGGTTACTGTTCACTGTTCATCATCACAACAACACAACACACATACACCAACAGCAGCTACAACCAGGAAGTGATTTCAAAAATTTCCTCTAGCCATTGAAATCCATGTGGTAACAGTAATTGCCCTCCGCTCTGCATGGCGTTGTTTGCATTGCATGCAGGGCATCTTGCTCTATCAATTAGACCCCAAGCCATTATTAGACGTGACATTTTACATTACTGAAGAGAGGCAAACATTTTAATGAGCACAGCTTGCTCTCAGATTTCAATCTGTGCTGCCTTTATTTCCGCTTTGACACCATTTTTCTTATGTCTAGGTGACCTCTCGAAAGGCGGCATAAAGTGTTGGGATATGAGATGTACACACTGTGCATAACTAGCTGCAGTGATTGACATATGTCACTGTCAGCAGAAAATATACAGTAGCACTTGGTACCTACGCCAGGCTTATGCTCTTGATGGTTAGAAACAATACCACACATATCGTGCACCTTTGGTGTGACAAACTTCAACCGAATGAAAATACCCCAGTGACTCTACATGTTCTGTTGAGTTAAAAGTTTATTTCTTGGAGTTGCTAAAAAATAAAAAATAAAAAAAAATAAAAAAATAAGGGGATGAAGAGGAGAGGTGGTATGTCAGCGCCCATGGGCCTCAGTGTGCGGTGGTGTTACTCGTCCTAATTACTCCCAATACTCACACACATTTGGTGGACTGCTCAGAAGGGCCAATTAGAAGGGCAGGGCAAGTCACTAGGTAGGAAAAGTCAGTGCTGAAGTGTGTAGCCATCTAGACTATACCACAGAGAGATGGTGTGTTATGGCAATCTCTGCAGTACATTTCCATAAATTACTTTTTTGTATAAAATTAAGAGACTTTAGGCACCATAGCTGTGCTTCAAATTGAATATCTTATAATGTGAACGTTGTGTTCTTCTGTGTTTACTCTATATGTATTGCCCAACATAGCATCAGCTCAGCATTTACAAATTACTGTTTTTTTTTTTTTTTTTGGGGGTGGGGTGATAGTGAAATGATAGTGTTAATCTGGGGCAACCAAAGTTAAAGGAGTAAAGTGAAAACCATTGGCACTTTGTGAAAAGGAGGTTGTTACATGAGACTCCAGAATTGTGTCACTGCATCAGTGAGGAGGGTAAACAGTTTTAAATATGGCACACTTTGCTGAACGGCATTAAAAAGCTGACTTTTGAATGCAAAAAAAAATGTTGTTTTCATCAATTTCAATGGTAAGAGTTTCCACCAGATGATCCAATGCGACAGAGTAAACAAGAGCTCTATGGAGTATGTTTGCAAACATTTCTCTACATAGAAAACGATCACCTTAGATTGACTTCGCTCTAAGCTAAAAGCCCAGCCCTTTAAGTGTGTCAGGGTCATTAGACCTCTATACCCGAGTTTGCATTATTTACTTAGAAAGGTTTTTTTTTGTTTTTTTTGTTTTTTACAAGTAACATCTAAATGCCCATCAGCCACTGCCAGTATACAGAATATGGCAAGGTCATGGGTATGAAACTGAAACAGGAAACGAGGAAAGCTTTCCATCTATGCAGATGCAGATGTACTTTGACAATATCAGGAAATGTTCCCACTTGAAATGAGGACAGGGTTGTTTTTTTATAGGGTTACATTCCTATCTCTTTCTTTCTTTCCTTCTCTCTTGATATTAAAATTTCTATGGTCATGATTAATATTTCCACAGCTCAGACAAACACAAAACATTTACACTGTAAATTTTGCCTCAGTACCATTTGCTGAATATTAAGATAAGCATCCACAGAAACCCACAATGTTTGCTCTACAGTATAGTTTGTTTACATTGCATCACCTCATTTCCTATGCTATACTCATAATCATCTGTCAGACATGCATATTTGCAGTACAGCTGCTTACTATTAGGGCGCCAGCGGGAGTAAGTACTTATAATGTGGCGCCCGTATTTGTGCATATAAACCCTCCAGTCTTGTAGGCCGGCTTCTGTATCATCAGTGCTAGCCCACAGCGATTAATGAAGTCGTCTGCTTGTGTCTGCATGATTAAGGAGTGCTAAAGCATCAGTGTGTTTGTGTGTCTGTGTGTGTGTGTGTGTGTGTGTGTGTGTGTGTGTGTGCATGTTGTCTGCATAGATAAAACAGCAACAGAGAACAAAAGATGCCAGCATCGAGGAAGCCTTTGCAGTAGGTCCATTCACAAATGTCAAAATGACAATTTTGCACTGTAGAGATTGCTTGGTAAATGCAAAGGCTTAATTCTTTATGATCAGGTAATACAACAGCAAACAATTACAAATGATGACTAAAACCAGGGAGGCAACTGAGGGAGAAAACAATACATTATTTATGAAAATATTGTAAAATATGTGAAAGGTATTTTTTTTCTTTTCAGTGATTTAGTTTTCATCTATAATTTTTCCTATTTCCTATTTGTCAAGTAATTCCATATTTCATGCTTGGATGCAATCCTTTCCCCGTGCTATATATTGCAGATGCTCATGCCTCTTAGCGATAGCACAATATGTCCTTTCCATGGTTGTTCAAAAATTCCACAAAACTAGAACATACTCATCTTTTTTTTCCCCCCTCATTCTGATGCGCTACATTATCATGGATGCACCGGGGGATGAGTCTGGTATTTGTGGAAATCTCGTCTTATCAATTTATAATTAAAACAGATAAAACTACAGTTTTTTTTTTTTTCATTTAATATCCAAGTAGCTTTCAGCGGGCTGTGTAATAGCGCTGCGTAGGGAGGGTTTCTTCTGCATCATCATACAGTCAGAACAAAGGATATGCACATCGTAAAATCATGCAAATGAATGCAAATCGCTGGGAGCAAGGAATAGCGAGGTGGCAGGGGGAGAGTTTGAATAAACAGAGGACTTTGTATACAACACTTGCTGGACAATCTTCCTTAAAGTTGTGGCACATTACTGAATGTATATTGGTTCTGAATCTGATTCTAAATCTCTGCTTGAGACTTTGTAGAATTTTCTCTGCTTACAAATACCGGGTAGATGTGTTTACCCACAATTCCTGAATGATATGTAGCTTTGTATTTCTTTCTTTTTTGATAGAAATTGTGCTTTATTTATTTATTTTGTGATGCAACAAAATGCGAACTGTTCATTATAGAGGCGATTCTAAAGCACAGTGAATGCAACTGTAATACAGTGGCTGCTAACAGCATTGCAGTATGTATGTATATATGTATGTGTGTATGTGTGTGTGTGTTTACGTGTATGTGTGCATGCGTGTGTGTGTGTGTGTTTAGATGATGCAATATTTTGACCGTACCGCCGCAGAGAAATGCAGAACAGATATTAGTAACAGCAACGCTAATGAAAGTCACACCTCTGCTACTCGCCCTCCCAGTGAAAACTTCAGCTTTATCAAACATGTGACATTTTCATAATTATGTTCAGTTACTGGGGGATTAGGTAATGACAGCGCAGGTCAGCCTCAAAGCCCTAAAAAAAGAAAAACATGCTTGTATTATTTTACTTGATATTTGATTTGGTTTTCACCATGGATATTTAAAGCACTAGTAGGGTTACTGCATCATCACAAATGCATCAGCATAGACAGTGCAAAAAGATAAGTTAAAAGCCACTTTGCTTCCATCCTAAATTATATATCATTACTTTTATAATTCATAATACAACACAGTGTCTTAAGTGTGTGTGTGTGTGTGTGTGTGTGTGTGTGTGTGTGTGTGTGTGTGTGTGTGTGTGTGTGTGCGTGTTTGGTGTAAAATATGCCAGTGTGTGTTTCATCACAAATTAATTCAAAACTTTCACTCAATCCTAATTTGTAGAAAAATTCTAAAATGATGCAATAAAATCCTTACACATAAATTGAAACATTTTGCAAAGCATGTATTTTTTTTTCCATGAAATTAATTCCTGCAACATCACTTCCCTCCACAAAATGCTGATATTAATCTAGACATGCTTTAACAATATCACATTCAGAGAGTCCCATATCCATACAACAATAAGTAATTTGTCTCAACTTGCCTACACAAAAAATCATATTTAAATAATGCCGCCCTCTTTCAGACACCACACAGACACACACACACACACACACACACACACACACACACACACACACACACACACACACACACATACAAGTGGACTAAACCGCAGACACAATATGGTAGGGGAGAAAAGGGGGAGGGCTCAGACAGACATTCACAATTGTGCATAATGATGTTAACATTCCTGCATGTCTAATGCAGGGGATATTGAGACAGACACTAGCTGGTCGGCGGTCTTGCTGCGTGTTGTGTGTGTTC